AAAAAAAAAAAAAAAAACAGAAATCTATGTTATATTCTACAGATGTTCATGCCTACATTTAGAACTTGACAGCTATATCATGTTGTCTGTGACTGTCACTCTGCAGATGAGGTTGAAGATAAAACTGAAGACTTAGAACTTCCCATCTATGATTTATCGACAGTAACTATAGCAACCAATGGTTTCTCAGAGGGCAACAAGCTTGGGGAAGGTGGATTCGGGCCTGTTTACAAGGTAAAATGTGGGGAAACATCATTGTTGAACCATTTATGATTTATAGGACACTCTTAACAACAAAATCTTAAGCAACACTAACCTACAACATGGAAAATAAAACGCATTTGTTTTTTTCTAAATTCATCACCTTTGACATGATATCTTAGGGAATGCTGGAAGGTGGCAAGGAAATAGCTGTTAAACGACTGTCAGAAACTTCTTCTCAAGGACTCGATCAGTTCAAGAATGAAGTTATCTGCATCGCCAAGCTTCAACACCGGAATCTTGTGAAGCTTCTAGGTTGCTGCCTTGAAGAAAATGAAAAGATGCTGATTTACGAATACATGCCTAACAAAAGCCTGGATATCATCCTATTTGGTGAGAATTTCCTGAACACAAGTATACCATACTGTTATAGCAATAACTCTGCTGCCAAAACCAGAGTATAATAAGCACATACTAACCATAAGCAAGAAATGTTACAGATAAAACAAAAGGCCAACAGCTCGATTGGCCAAAGCGCTTTCATATAATCAATGGTATTGCCAGGGGACTATTATACCTTCATCAAGATTCTCGGCTAAGAATTATACATAGGGACCTCAAAGCCAGCAATGTATTGCTTGATAACGATCTGAATCCAAAAATATCAGACTTCGGCATGGCCAAAATTTTTGGAGGGAACGAGACAGAAGCCAACACAAGACGAGTTGTAGGAACATAGTAAGCGGTCTTTAAATTTACACATCCGTTCAGAATCATCTGAAACATTTGAGCTTATGAACTTTATGGTTCCCTTAATTTTCTTGCAGTGGCTATATGTCACCAGAATATGCAGTCGATGGCATGTTCTCACTAAAATCAGACGTATACAGCTTCGGTGTTTTAGTGCTAGAAATCGTAAGTGGCCAGAAAAACAGAGGCTTTCATCACAAGGATCATCATCACAACCTTGTAGGGCATGTAAGTTTTCAGTCAGTCTTAGAAATATCATTAGCAGCCTGTTATGGTTGAAATTATAATCCAGCATTTTCTACGAAATGAAAAAGGATAATTACAAAAACTATAACATTATATTTAAAAAAAAAAAACAATGGGTGCAATATTAATGCCATGATGTGCTCAGGCATGGTTGCTATACAAAGAAGGAAGGTCCTTGGAACTAGTTGACCGCAACATAGCGAACTCAATTTACTTGTATGAATTACTACGGTCAATCCATGTGGCTCTATTGTGTGTGCAACAACGTCCAGACGATAGGCCGAGCATGTCCTCAGTGGTTTTAATGTTGGGCAGTGGAGGAGTTTTACCTGAAGCTAAACAACCTGGCTTTTTCACAGAAAGGCATGGCTTTGGTTCTGAAACATCAACCAGCACCAATGCAACAAGGTCCTCAAATGAATGCACAATTACACTATTAGAAGCTCGATAAAATCGTACCACATGGAAAGTATTTTTGTGACTATTGGCTCAACACCATTACTTTGCCGTATTTAAATGGCAGATCATTTTTTTTTTTTTTCTACTTAGCTGTATATTTTCGTTTCAACTCTTAGGCTAGGCCCTCTCGTTATTAATGAAAATCATATTCTTTCTTTGTTTTGGGTAATAATTTAGAGGAAATGTTGATTGAGAATATTGGAAGGATTTTCATGGATTCATAGTCAAGTTTAAGGAATTTGCATCATAATGTTTCACAATTGTCCAATATTTTGTTTAATCTTATATTGGAGGAGTATGGCAACTTTAACACTAGCTCAAATAGTCTCTTCATGAATTTTGCAACAGTTATCGAACGAGTTAGGCTGGAGGAAATCGCATAGCAGGAAATAACAAGCAATATAACACCAAAAACTGTTGTTATTTTCTGGTATCGCCATCTCCCATTTCTTCATAAATCTAACTCAAAAAACCCATCAACTATGTACACATATGCATACATTCACACACACAATTGACATACTTCAAAAAACAACATAAACAAATTACGGTTTGTCTCAGTATACTGTATAAGTATGCATTTTTTGTTCAAGAACTATGACGAGTCATTTGTCCATTGCAAATGGAGCTGGAAGAGTCATTGTTGACAATTCTCCTGGCATAGTGCTAATAATGGACTAGATCAAAATGGCTCAATTAAATTCTAGTGCTTCTTCTATTAGTGAAGTTTCTAGAAAAAAAAATATATCAAACGATGCAATGCACCTTGGGTCGCTACGGAAACAGCCTCCTTGTATAATTACAAGGGTAAGGTCTGCGTATAACTGACCCCCCAGACCCCAACCAGTTGGGAGTATACTGGGTATGTTGATGTTGATGATGAACTATGACGAGTCAAAAACCCGCATAACCGTTGAGCTGCCTCACACAAGAATTTGTATTTTACTAATTGTTTTATTCATTAGGAGAGAACGACCAGTGATATCAAGTTGAAACAATAGTCGAAGTCAATCATGAAGCAAAAATGTCAGCTCATGGACTATAGAATCAGAAACTCATAGTAGCAACAGTTACATAAAACAGCAAAGCCAACAGCAAAGTTGCTCACCTGCGGAAATAACATCACTCTAGATGAAGTGTCTGATTCTAGAAAGATTTTCGTCCTATGCTGGGTAGGGGCGCACGGTGCGCGGCGCACCGAACCACACCGAACCACCGTAATTCTACTAGTGGGACCCAACCCACCCCACCCACCCCACCCACCCTCCCCACACACACTCTCTCTCCCACACAGACCAGAAGATCCCGACGCTTGCTCCCTCCTGGCGGCCAGCGATTCTCCGGTGAACCCGACGTCGTTCGACAGCAACCCGGCGACCGGCACGCACCAGTCCAGAGGCGGATTTACATATCCCGAAGGGGGCATTGTCCCTCAACATTTTTAAGTTTTACTATACATAATAACTAGTACGTGACCCGCGCGTTGCGCGACTTGACATTAAAAATAATTTAGGTGAATTATAATTTGATATACATAAAATACGTATAGAGTTAAAATCGGTGACTCCGGGAAACAACATATAACTGATTGTGAGTACAAAATACTATATGTTTTTTAAAAAAATATAATTAAATAAAAATAATAATTTATGATATTCAACGAAAAATATTTTTCACATTAATTACACTCCTTGAAACTTCATCATTCTCGCATAATAAAGACATTATTACTATTATATAGGTAAACTGATATGAAATAATTGAAATAAACATGTAGAAATATGATCCAGTTAAAAAATATAATTTGAATAAGTAAAATAAAAAACAAAAATGACTCAATTTGAACTGCATGTTTCAAATTAGGTCCACATATTTTTCTCTCTTTTTTTTTTAAAAAAAAATTATCTAAATAAATTTTAGTAATTTTTTTCAGACTGACATGCAAGGTGGATCACCTTTTGCAAACTTACAAATAGGCACAGTAGTCGTTAATATTCATGTCAATAACAAAGTTATTTATTTTTTTGCGCACAATTAATGTGAAATAAAATTTAATATAATTTTTGGAAGTGAATTCATAAGATAAAAAAAAAGAATACATACAAAATACACTATATATATTATAAAAAAGTATATTATTTTTATAAAACTAATATTTATGATATATGATAAGAAAAAAGTAGTTGATGTATTATAGTAAGCCTTATTGAATTTTATTGCAACAAATTAGTAACGATATTATATTAGCATCATTCTCTTAACAAAACATGTGTTATAATAACAAAAAATTAACAATAATTAATACATTATGCCATATTTATTTATAAAAAATTATAGTTGCATAATTATGAATAAATAAAAAAATTAAAATGAGGGCAATCACTTTAATCACAACCATTTAAATGACCTCAAATGTCGGTCTCAATAAAAAATGATATCAACTAAAAATAAATAAATTAAAACAACTATTTATTTTAAGCTCCACCAATTCAATTAAATGAACTAATTCAATCAAATGAACTAAAACCAATATAAAATGTCTCATATATAACAAAAAATGAACTAAATAATTGGATGATAAATATACATTGTCGTATTCATTCTTTCGAGTCAAAACTATATCGTCACTATTTGTTTCTCATCCCTTATAGTTGAGACTTGAGACTCTCTCTCTTTTTATATCATTTCATTTTTATTTTTTTATAATATAACTCCACAATATTAGTCTATTTCTTACTCATAAATGAAACCAAATTCCGATGTCATGTTTAAAACTAAATCATCTAATTTTTATTATGTATACAAATTGTATCATTTTATGTCCATCTAGAAGTTGAAAAATAAAAGTAAAAATGTCTATATATAATAAATTATATAATTTCAAGATGTTTTTATTTTTTTGTATAATTTCAGGTCATAATAAGGTAACAATCAAGATGATAAATGTCATAACAGTCAAGATGATAAATGTCAATGGATCGATCAATAGCCAACAATTATTTTGCATTGAATTTATGATAATCACAATTTAACTTACTTTGTCAGACATACACATTGAGAGAGTTCTTGTTAAACAATAATAATAAAATATTTAAATGTAATATATAACTCTAAAATGATAAAAAGTAAAACTAACACATGTGATAAATGATAACAAAAAAATGTATGAACATGTTGAGATGGCCTATTCAATAAATTGACAAAAAAATTAAAATTATACTAACTAAAAATAAATAAAGTAAACAAACTTTATATTTTCGGGCCAATGAACACCTTCAATCAAACCAATTTCAGTATAAGTTTTTCTTCAGTCTTCATAGTTAATGACATGAGTTATACCTCTTTGAAATAATGTCACTCTCCCCATTTGTATGTTATCATTTTTCTTTTTTTAATATCAGTTCTGAAATATCATCTATTTTTAATTCATAAATAAAATCAAGTTTAGATATCATGTTCGAATTCTAAGTTTGCTTATATCTTTTTTTCTTTTGTTTCATTTGTTCATATTCATGGTTGATATTTGTAAAAGAACCTAAATTAATAATTTTTTTTGGACCACATAAAGGTTATTTTGTGTTTTAGATATATATTTTTATGGACATGCAAGTTCGTCCTTAATGCCTGTAGATGGTGCCTTTTATTTTATTTTATTTTAAAAATTTTATTTCATTTAAAATAATATACTTTATTTATAACCGATATAACTTCAATCTTTCTCTCTCTATCTTTCTTTTTTTATTATTTTCAAAATAATTTATTAGAAAATAAAATAAAAATAAACAAATATGAAATTTAGTTGTGTAAGTTTGCAATTTTTTACTAACCATGTGAATGAATTTTGTATTAAATTTTAGATATTTAGAAAATATCACCAATAATATGCTTAGCATATTATTCTAATTAGCATGTTATTCTATTAAGTCGTAAACTATTGGAGCCCTTTTATTATAACTAAAATAGATAACCACCTTAAAGTATATTTTGTGTATATTATTTTCACTATATATATGATTATAAAAAATAACATAATATATTTGAATTATTATACATAAACTATCTATAATGATAATTCTATTTTTTAATTAAGTTTTTGTACACATAATAATTTTTTCTTGTTTGAATTTTCCACGTGCAAGTCCCAATGCACAATTAAATTTAAACTTAATTATTTTCTTGAACAAACAATTATAGTACTATTTTTGTAATGATATATCATACTTAGAAATTGTCAAAATTTATATCTAAATGATAAATGTAGTTTTGGAGGATTTTTTTTTCCCAAGCTACTTAACTAAGTGTACATTAAATTTAATGATAGACAAAAATTAGGAGCTATGCACGGTTTCCTAACATACATGAAACAAATGTATTCATTATTCTCAAATTTAATACTAAGTGGAAATTTAATGCAAAATTTAAAAAAAGATTAGTTATCAAATAATGTGCAAACATTTAATGTAGATTTTGAGCGGGAATTTGGCAGCTGCTCCGCTTTAATATATATATAGATAATATGTACTTGATTTACAATTATACCCCACAATTACATTTTTTGTTATTTAATTATCTCATTTATGAATCTATTTGTTATTCTAAAACCACATTATATACGTGTTTTAGATTTTACATAGTATAATATTTGTTGTTTTTATTTTTTTTAGCAATTTAAGATTTAAGTAAATTGGATGTGAGAAATACAAACACTTGAAAATTCTTTATTTGAAATAGGAGAGCATGTATATTTTGCAATTTCATGATGTATAATGGAAAATTACAATAAATTTAATACCGAATAAATTGTTAGTGAATTTTATGAGTTAAAAAAAATGTAAAAAATAATTTTCTTACTACCAAACTTAAATGATTTTATACTGCAACATATTATATCTATCAACAGGATCTTCGAACTTGGCTGATGTGGAACTTGGGTGGCGCATCGCGATTAATTAACAAGAAATGGAATAGCCAGTTCGCATTTGGAATTTGGAG